ACAATCGATTTCCAGAAATATCACCAAGGCCATGACCTCTGTGTCATGTCAGTGACCTTGAGTCCTGACTTTCTCATTTGTTGAACATCATGAACAATGAATCGTCTCCATCCACATCCTGCTGGGCTGCTCTGTACACAGACACCAGTAGACATTCAGTTAGTTATGCGACTAGGTAAACCCTGTAATTATTGTCATAACACACTTTAACTCTACATCTGCACAAACACAATTTCTGCTCCTGTATACTCCCAGAAGCTTTCAGCTTTGACTCTAAATTCAAGACATGAGAGTCGAGCCTGAAGATGAAATCCCCCCGAGTTTCTATGCTAGAGTCCATCAATATGCTGAGACAAGATGAGATTTTAGCAGCATACACACACACACACACACACACACACACACACACACACACACACACACACACACACACACACACACACTGCAGCTAGTAGCTTGTGAAATCAAACGTGTTCCCTCGCGCCACCTTCCAATCAATAACTCAAAAGTGTCAGGTAGCTCGCGCCCACTCCACAGCACTTCATGACAATCGATCTGCGGCCGAAGCGTGGGTTATTCTTCCATTCCTCCACTCCCTTTCTCCCCGTGCAAATCGAAGTGATATTATTTTCATATTTGCCTCCTGGGGGAGGACTTGTTTTAATCCTCGGTGAGCTGCGGAGCGTCTGCAGCCTCCTCATCTGTAAATATCATCAGTTATAAACTCCTGCAGGTCGACAGCCACACTGAGAGTCGGTTTTCTCTTGTTGCTGCAGCACAGATTAACTAACCACATCACAGGGTCCTAATGTATGAACACATGTATGTTGTAAAAACAAGCATCAGGTCTCACAGAGCAGAGGAAAAGACAAAGAGGATAAGAGGATGTTGTTGTTGTGACATGAAGATATTTCACATGACAGTTAACTCAAACTGTCAAGAGCTAAAAGAACATGGAAGAGGTCTGAACATCACCTACTGACTCAGAGATTAGCCCTACATTTCTTTCTCTTGTTGTGTTCTAGACCTTTTAGACATCATGAGTTATTGTCAGTGGGATATTTATGTATTAAAGGAGTGATCTGAAAGTTTTGCTATTGCTACGTAGCTAACGTTAGCATTAACAGCAGCTTAGTTACCAGTCCTTCCAAGAGCTTCAACCATTGTTGTGTTTACAAGACAAGAGGCTACAATACATCCTCTGAACAGCTGCTTCTTCAGGACACACTGGGGGCTACAGTGACTCAGCATCGGAAAGTGTCGAGATGGACGAGTCGGACCAAGGCTAGCTGGTTAGCATGCTAATTTCAGTAGAAGAAGTGACAAAAAGCAAAACTAGAGGGTTGATTTCCACCTCAAAAGACAGCTCATGGTGAGTAAAGGAATGGAGTTTGATGCTGTTAATGCTAACAATGCTAAAGTTAGCTATGTAGCAATAGCAAAACTTACAAAAAGCGCAGGTTCGATAATAGACTATACAATAGTAAAGTGTGGAGTTATTTAAGGTGCTCAGTAGTCTTAAATGATCGTTTGCATCCCACAGACTCAATAGAAGATCTCCAGCTCTGATCTGGACACAAATATAATGTTGCCTGGCTCCTAAAGAAAGTTTCAGCTCAACCTGACCCAGACTGAGTGACAAGTCACATCATCTGTCTTCCTTCAGACACATTTAGCCAGCTTAATGTCAGAGGGAGGAGCTCAGGATGATGTTATATTAAACATTAGCCATACAAAGACAGGAAACTGAGGGAGCGTTAGCTTGAGAAATATTGTTTGTTCTATTTGAGAGAATCACAACACCAGTGTGTGTGATTAGCAATAAAACAGACAGCCGCTGTGAGAAGTAAAAGGCCTCTGCAACACCAAACAGGCTCATTTTGAACCTAACTGTCCTCACAGGAGGAGAAGAACCACAGAACAGCTGAGACCCTGAAACCATCAAATCAGGAGAATGATAACAAAAACAAAACACGAGTGGGCGTCAGAGTCAACGTTTTAAACTGTGAATACAGGGAAAAAGTCCAGCTCACTAATGAATACTAATAAAATTAGTAGGTCCACCTGGACACCACTTCCTCAGACAAGACTTTCTGCTGCTGATCTAACTGCCAAGATACGACGGATGTGATCAGGTCGTATTGTGCTTTAACGACCATATTGGCCCAAATAGCGGCGATACTTTCCGGGCTTTAGGTTGAATGGTCAGACAGGGTTTATTCAGTAGTTTTACTCTAACAGCTTCTGGCTGAGCAGCACATCCTGAGCCATCTTTGATTTTACATTATTTGTACTGACTTTGGCAGAAAGGATCTTTTTCACTTGGTGTGAATTAATGTTGGTTTTTCTATTTTAGGAGTTTCCAAGAAAACTTCCCACCACCCTGTGAGTAAATATTCAAACACTTCCTATTTCAAAGTTTATGAACCACAGTGACACAGTCTCATGAAAGTCAGACGACACGACTTGAGTTCAGGATCCTGATGTGTAGTATGCCTCTCCTGGGGAATCAATGATGTAAAGCCACAGGATTATCATATAATCCAGGAACCTCTTGAGTTTAAAGGTATATCAAGAAGATCATTTAAAGAAAACCTTCACGGAGGAAAAATACTTGCCCCTCCCTCATTACCATCACCGAGCTGTCCTTGAGCAAGGCCTTTAAAGCCCACTGCTCCAGTGGAGCCACTCAGTGACAAGCAGGTCAGACTGGTTGTACTGGGCAGCTGTCAGGGGTGGATAAAAGATGCGGTTAAGAGAGCCACGCTGTCAGTGAAACTTCACTGAATAAATGAAAGTGTTTAAAAAATGTGTTGATCTCACAGCAGCCAGGCAGATGGTTATTAAACAAAAATAACCGCAGGAAGGTCGCTACCCAACAAAATGAGCATCATCAGTTCACTTCAATGCACTCTACTAGTCAAATGAACAATTGAATGACCCTGAAGATGTTTGAAAAGCAGCAGGATGAACTCTTGTCCTTGAACACGAGTCTTTATGTGCAGCAGTTTTTCTCTCAACATCCCTGCCCGGCTGCTGCAGCATCTGCTGCCCCGTCTGAAATGAAGCATGTCACCTGTAGTGACACTGGAGGGACGTCAGCTGTGTGATCTGCAGATCAGAAGCGCACATGAAGAACCAGCTGAGCGCAAACGCTCGGCATGCCGGCCGTCTGCCAGACTCTGAAACCGCTTCTCTGTGGTGGAGACGTCTCCTAAGAGTACGTATCTTTTTTTTTTTTCTTTTCCAGATGATGAAAGTTTCCTCTCGTCTGACTGTGATGTAAAACCTCGGGCAGGTAGACACAGAGACACTTCCTGTTTGTTCTGCTGATGAGAGTCAACAATTTCCTTTAACTATCAAACCAATTATTTATAGAGCAGAGAAAAAACAACATGACTCATCTCCTTCTGAGTGTTTGTGACTCAACAGTCTCAGTCTGATTGTTGACTTTGATATACACTGTGTTGGTATGCAGCATTAAAACTAATGGGAACACTCAACATTGCAGTGGTTTTGGATAGAAAATAACTTGGCTCAAGGGTTCAGGTTTGTTGAAATGATGTCATTCATCCATTTTTTTTTTTTCCTTGTGAAATGATATGAAGGGAGAGGCTCTGGGTCTGTCTTCTGTTTTCTAAGTGATCCAATAAAAATATAGCATATTTCAGGTAATCACTCAGAGAAACCAAATCGGATGGTGGGGCCAGGTGGGCGGGGCTTGGGGCATGGCTGAGAGCGGTGACTGCTTTGTTGTGACATCACAAAGTTACAGAAGTCCTGACGGCTCATTATAAGGCTCAGTTTCTGAATACATGATGCACAAGATGTCCAAAATATTTCCCAGTAAGAAAATCATGTGGCAGAAACTCGGATTAAAGTGCATAAAGTGTGATCAAGAGGTTTGTAACAAATGAGAAGAAATAAATGACTTCTCTTTAGTGATGAGGTGAGTTGAGTATCTAAGAAAAGCAAGGTCGAGCATTTACAGAGACGCGCATGAACATTAAAGACCATAGTGAGCAGCAGTCCTGCAGACAAACCCCAGACTTGACAGTTGACGTTTTGAGAAGTGTAACCTGGTTTGATGGATCTGGAGTTCTGCTGAGGCAGCAGATGGTAGGGGAAGGTTTTCTTGACTCACTTCGGGCCCTTAGTACCAATTAATCATGGTTTGAATGCCACAGTCCATCTGAGCATTGTTGCTGACCATGTCCATCCTTTTATGGCCACTGTTCACCATCTTTTAATGGCTACTTCCAGCAGGATAACGCTCCATGTCACTAAACTTAAGTCATCTCAAACTGATTTCATGAACGTGACAGTGGCCTCCCCAGTCTCCAGAGCGGGAGATCGACCGCATGAATGTTCACCCGACAAGTCTGTAGAGATCATGTGACGCGATCAAGTCAACGCAGATAACAAGCGAGAAATTGAATCTGCGACACCAAGAATGCAAAGGTGTCTTTGGGGAACGAGGGTCCCACCGCATACTAGAAAGATGTACCTAATAAAGTGGCCACTGATACAGTTATTTACGGTCATTTTGTTCAGTTCACGGATACGGTCAGATAAGGTGGAAAAAGTATCTTGAAACTAATTAAAGGGGTAATCAAGAGAATGTTCCCGATCTGTTTCCTGGATGTTTACTCAGAACAAACTGAGCCTGATTGTGAGTCGACAAACTTTTATAACTTAAAGATTTATACCAACAAAGTGCATGCAGTACATTCCCGCTGACATCCTTTTTAACATTTGTTCCCATTACATATCGCCATCCATCCTTTTACTGTGGCGGCGAGTGTGAAAGGCATCATGGATTTACATCTCTCAGATATATGACCCTTCGCTCGCCGCGGCAGATATATGAGCGGAGCCGTCAGAGCTTTATGAGCTGTCAGATTGATGACGGCTCAGAGGGAAGAAAAGAAAAGAAAAGAGAGGGAGAAGGAGTGACAGAGAGAACGAGAAAGAAGGAAAGAAAGGGAAGTGACACGTACTTGAAACCCGGCGCCATGTTGGCACAGCTCCCAGTCCGCAGCCAGATGCAGTATGGGTCACGAGAGGCCAGGCAGGCTCTGGAGAGAGACACACAGAGATATCATCATATATCATTCATATATTTTTTCAGCTTATTTTCAATGATTTGTTTATGTTTTTATTATGGTAAACTATGTCGACTAACATTTCCTATACCATTTCCTCTGTTGCTCCTAAGAAGTCAACCATGCTTCCATCATAGATACCCACAGTATTCATAAAGCATGGTCCATTAACCATCAGGACTTAAACCTTTGGTGAGGCAGCTTTTAGCTTTTATGCCCCAAGCCGTTGAACCAATCTCCCCAAGGACCTGAGAGCAGCCGGAAATGTTTAAACGTAAACTCCAAATGTGTTCAGTCTGGCTTTTAATTAAATATGGTTTTTAGTCATTACTCAATTTATTTTATTGTATCCATGTTGTAAATTGTATTTCATTCCGTTTAATCTGTTGTTTCATTATTCATTTTTGTCTTATGTTTTTTTGTTTGCTAATGTGATTATAGATTTTTGAATCTATTTTATTGTGTCTCATTGTCAGCTTTCTTATTCAATTGATCCTTTATCAGTCATCTGTGAAGCAAACTACACTAACCAGTATGAAAAGTGATATACAAATAATGTTTGACTGATTGATTGATTAATTGATTGATTGATTGATTGATTGATTGAAGTGTAGAGGGAAAATTCTTACTTTTTTTTCTCAGGAGTCATCCCACACAGAAATGTAATATGTGACATATATGTCACTACATCAAGAGTGATGTCACCATATATGTCACCTATATGGGGATATATTATCATAACACATATACAACCTCTGGATATATGAAGATATAAGTTTATAAAATATATGAAATACCCATAGTAAAATTTGTACATATATTAAGAAATATCTATTTGCTATTTTTACATAGAACACATATACTTGCAACATATGTAATATATAAAACCCTAACATATATATATATATATATATATATATACATATACACACATATACATATATCTATTTGTTTAATTTAAGAAATGTCTATCTTATCATTCTGGGAAAATGGTCTGAGATGTTTGGACGTCATTTTAATATCAGCATATATTGACAGGCTTTGGGATGGATATATATTTATGTACCATATGTCTTCAATATAAAAATACATACATTAACATTATATATTTGTATAGGCTGGATACATATGTCAATATATGGCATTGTTCCAATTTCTAATAGGTTTCATATAAAATTTTTACATATACTGTATGTACATATAAAATAAAACTTATATTTCATGACTGTTGAATGTAAATCAATAGTTACATTTAAATAACTATATTAGATTACTGTAAAAGAGATACAAAAACACCTGAAGTCCCTTATGTCATTGTAAAAGTTGCTGGAAATACTGTTTTCAATTATGTTCATCCTTTTGAAATAAATTTGAAGAGACAGGGAGAGGAAGAGAGAGAAACAGAAAATGAAATGGATAAATAGAAAGAATAACAGTGATGGAGAGATGAGAGAATGAGTTTAAGTTTAAGCCATCAGAGAGAGAGACAGGAGGGGAAGGATGGATGAAATCAGAGGCAAGAAAAGCAGAGAGGAAGAGGGAAGAGAGACTGAGAAGGAGAGAGACAGAGGAAACAGATGGAGAGACAAAGGAGAGAAGAGGAGAGAGAGGAAGACGACGCAGTTATTTTTCTGTATCAGTCGCTGTCATGTGTGAGCCTGAACGGCCAGCTGTCTGCCCCACACACACACACACACACACACACACACACACACACACACACACACACTTACACTCACACACACACACACAGTTGTTTTGGCTGGCCTGACTGTGAACTTTGTGTGTTTGGCATGTGAATTGTATGTGTGTGTGACTGGCAGACTGTGAACAAAATGAACTTGTAATGGGTGATAGGTTTTGGTGTGTGTGTGTGTGTGTGTTTGTGTGTGTGTGTGTTGCTAACAGGGACACCAGCCATTGTTTCTGTTGCTAAAGACTTTTTCCCATCTGACAACAGCTGACACGACAGGTGTGTGAGTGTGTGTTTGTATGTTTGTGTGTGCGCGTGTGTGTGTGTGTGTGTGTGTTAGACCTTTAGAGAGACACTAGATTTGTGCGACAGCTTTTTGTGTGTTTGTGCATAAATAGAGGAAGAGAGTTTGTCAGTGATGTCAGATTGTAAATGTTTACTTAATCTTCAGATGATGACAGCAGTGTGTGTGTGTGTGTGTGTGTGTGTGTGTGTGTGTGTGTGTGTGTGTGTGTGTGTGTGTGTGTGTGCTCCTTTGGGTTTTGAGAACGTGAGAG